AGAGATGGAGACCATCCTGGCCAATATGGTGAAACCCATCTCTACTAAAAATACAAAAATTAGCTGGGTGTGGTGATATGCACCTGTGGTCCCAGCTACTCGAGAGGCTGAGGCGGAAGAATCACTTGAACCCAGGAGGCAGAAGTTGCAGTGAGCTGAGATTGTGCCACTGCACTCCAGCCTGGCGACAGAGCAAGACTCCGTCTCAAAAAAAAAAGAAAAAGAAAAACTGAAGAACTTTTGGAAGAGAAGACATTAGCAGAAGTGGGGGAAATTCCTTCCCATTGATCTGCTTGATCTGGATTCCTGGGTCTTATATCTAGCCTTGGAAAAACTCCCAGTTTGGTCCCCACAAAGGTATCTAGTCACAGGTTTGTTTGTTTGTTTGTTTGTTTGTTTGTTTGTTTGTTTGTTTTTGAGTCTGAGTCTCTCTCTGTCTGTCGCCCAGGCTGGAGTGCAATGGTGCGATCTCGGCTCACTGCGACCTCCACCTCTCAGATTCAAGCGATTCTCCTACCTCAGCCTCCTGATAGTTGGGATTACAGGTGCCCACCACCACACCCAGGTAATTTTTTGTATTTTTAGTAGAGATGGGGTTTCACCATGTTGGCCAGACTGGTCTCGAACTCTTGACCTCAGGTGATTCGCCCACCTCGGCCTCCCAAAGATACAGGCGTGAGCCACCACATCTGGCTTTAGTCACAGTCTTAATCACTGGGTTCATAGTCCTGGAGCAACAAAAAAAAACTCAAACGTCTTATCTCTCAGGTCTGCGTTTGTCACCCTTGGAAACATGTTTCATCCAACCCGCCTGTGCTCTGTACCAACTGGGGATAGAGAGAGGAGAGGAGACTGAGTTTATTTTAGGCATAGGACATGGGGGAGGGGTTTCTCCTGGGTCAGACAGCGGGTGGGGATGGTGGAGGTGACTCACAGATGATAGAGTTCTCAGTTCCTCTAGGCAGAGACCTTAGTCAGAGCAGCAACAGAGCCTGAGGGTGTATAGATGGTCTACTCCTGTACTTTCCAATTTCCCTCTCTTAGACACACACACACACAGAACAAGTCCCCAGCTTCAGCAGGCTCTGGATCCTGATATAACTGGGCTCCTATTCTACTTCTGGAAATCCCCCCATCTGCCTTCAGCTTCGTGATTTTCCTAAATATCCCGCCTTCCTTCCCTCTGTGAAATCCAACTTCCTTGTTTGTTTTTGTTTTTGTTTTGTTCTATTTTATTTCATTTTTGAGACAGAGTCTCATTCTGTCACCCATGCTGAAGTGCAATGGAGCGATCTCAGCTCACTGCAACCTCTGCCTACCGGGTTCAAGCGATTTTCCTGCCTCAGCCTCCCAAGTAGCTGGGATTACAGATGCCCACCACCATGCCTGGCTAATTTTTGTTGTTGTTGTTGTTTTCATGTATCAATGCCATGGATAATTTTTGTATTTTTAGTAGAGATAGGTTTCACCACATTAGCCAGGCTGGTCTCGAACTCCTGACATCATGATCCACCCGCTTTGGCCTCCCAAAGTGCTGGGATTACAGGCACACGCCACCACACCCAGCTAATTTTTTGTATTTTTAATAGAGACGGGGTTTCACCATGTTGACCAGGATGGTCTCAATCTCTTGACCTCATGATCCACCCACCTCAGCCTCCCAAAGTGCTGGTATTACAGGCATGAGCCACCACACCCAGCCTAGGAAGTTTTATTTCATGGGCACCTCAGCCTCCACCACCCCTACCCAACCAGCCCAATAAGACCTGAGCCTGTTTCTTGAAATCAAGGCATCCAGCCTCAGTGTTCTCAGAATTTCCAGGCACTTGAAAATCTTAAAGAAGCCACTGAGTCTCACCCCAGAGAAATCACATACATGCGGACAAAAACTTCCCTCCAGTTTTGGAGGATTAAAGGATTGTATACCCAATCTTCCCCTACCCCATCCCAAGGACAATAGATCTAGGTTATAATTCCTACTCTAGAATTTTCCCCTGTACCCCTGTAGAACCCAGCCCGGTTTACAGGGCTGACATTGATTGCAGCGGGAAAAACAATGACTTTGGAATCTACTGGGATTGGGTTTGTATTTCACCTCTGTTGGCCTTCGCTTAGTCACTTCTCTTCTTTAGGCCTGTTTCCTAACAGTAAAATGAGGATCATGATACCTTCAGTTCTGGATAGTTGGAAAGATTAAATGGGATAGAGGCAGATTTAAGGTCAAGCCTAGGACCAGGAATACAGTATGTGCTAAATAAACCATTATCAGTACTCCCCACCCTTCTCCCACGCTACTGAATCAGCATGACTCCTGGCATTACAGCTTACACCTATATCCTGTACTCCTCTGTAGCCATTCACTCTTCTGGTTCTAAAACTCCAGCCTTCAGGGCAAGCAGGCTGGCGACAGCAGGAGGCTGGTGAGTGTCCTGGCCTTGCGCTTCACCCTTCTGCCCCTCCATCAAGCAAGCCGTGATTAATAATAGTCAGTCATCACAGCGAATCATTCCCACTGAGCAATGAAGGGACAGAGGGTACCAAAGAGGTCAGGTTTAAGAGAAAAAACACAGAGGCACTTGTAGACACACAGGCCTCGGCCAGAGAAAGACTGAGAATTACACAAGCTGGAAAGAAAAAGCTGAGAGGAGATGAAGCATTTAGAGGGGCAGTGGGGTTAGAGGAGAAGGCATTGGGTTTGGAGTCTAAACACTCAGGCTAACTGGCTAGCCATATGACTTGGGACAAGTCACTTCATCTCTCTACACCCATTTCCTCTTCTAGAGGAGAAGGCTGGACTGGTGGCTTCTAGGAACCCCCTGCTCACTGGCCTTTCTAGGTCAGCTTCCAGGCCTGGAGGGCTGTGCTGAAGTAGCTCCAAGTAGGAGGGAACCCCAAGTTCAGGCCCAACCAGAGCAGAGGAAGAGAAGGTCAGGCAAAGGCAGACATGGTGAGAGAAAAGGCAGGAGGTGTTAGGGCCACTGGGAGAGGACTTATAAGGGCAGAAAGAGCCAAGAGAGGAGGGATATTGGGGAGAGTAGAAAGGCCAGCCAAATAATGACTAAGGGGCTCCCGGTGTAAACAGGAGCAGGGAATGGACAGGGAGGGGGCCTGTTTGAGTTGGCCAAGACTGGGGGTGGAGTGGGGAGGAGGACTGGGGCAGGACGCTATGTCCCCTGTCCCCCACCAAGGCTCCTGGGAGGAGCTGAGTCACACACCTCCTTCCCTACACGCCTCCCCACCCACACCCCCAATCTCCCAAATCCTGGGAAAATCTAAAGAGTTTGCCTAAACTGAGAAAGGAGAGCGTTTGATTCACATGCATGTGCTTTGCTGGGCTAAAAAGCAATCAGGCCTCAGGCTCTTCCTCCCAAATGAGGTTCTCAGCCCATGGCTTGAGTAGCTTTCACCTAAAGGTTACCTTTTTGGCAATCCTGGCTTAAAGATCCTGACCCAGAGATTCCCTGGGTTCCTTACCTAAGAAAGGGTCAGGACTTGCAGATGTGAGAATGGGATGAGGGCCAGCACTGCCCCACAGTCTGGCCAGCCAGCCTCTCCCTTGGGCTGCAGCTGGCTCTGGAGAGGGGGTTTTAAAAAAGCAGATGGGTGATTTGGGACAGGAAGTAGAGTAGCAGAGTGAAGGGGAGAGTCATGGCCAGGAGTAAAAAAGAAAACATTGACTCTGGGCACTCTTATTCTGAGCCTTTCGGCCCAGAGTGGGGCCGAGGACTGGGGAACCGAGGGGACAGGGTTTGACTTGGGGGTACTATTCTGAAAAGGGAGGAGTCCTGGAGGAAAGGGACTGAAAGGCCCAGAGTCCCCCTCCCCCAGGCTAAGATAAAAGCTAGAATCCTGAAAAGTGATCTCATCACACAGAGCTGGAGCTGGGGAAAGAGGTGGGCAGGGGGTCACTGCCTTCCTTTACTAGATTCCCCTCCTCTACTTCCATGGGGGATCTGGGAAGAATGGGGTCCTGGGTTCCAGCTCCCAGTGTTTTTTGGGTTTTGGGTTTTTTTTGTTTTTTTTTTTTAGGTAGTCTTGCTCTGTCACCCAGACTAGAGTGCAGGGATACAATCTTAGCTCACTGCAGCCTCTGCCTCCTGGGTTCAAGCAATCTCCTGCCTCAGGTGTAATCCCACCTGTAGCTGGGATTACAGGTGCACACCACGACATCTGGCTAATTTTTGTATTTTTAGTGGAGATGGGTTTCGCCATGTTGGCCAGGCTGGTCTTGAACTCCTGGCCTCAGGTGATCTGCCCACCTTGGCCTCTCAAATTGCTGGAATTACAGGTGTGAGCCACTGTGCCTGGCCAGAGCTCCCAGTGTTTACAGCCAATAGGAACTGAAGGTTGGGTCCCTTCGCAAGACTTTCCACACCACCACCACCACCACCACCACCACCACCCCTCACTTTCTCCGGGTTTGTAGGAATCAGGCCAGTTTAATCAAGAAGGTACTGAGGGGCCAACCACTCGCAGGTTTTGGTCAACTGTCAGATCCAAGGAAAGGGATCAACAGAGGTTTACACACCCTAGGACCAAGAAGGGGGCAAATTGGACTAAACCCATGCTGGTGAATGACCCCAGACTCCTGGGTTTTCAATATTAGCAGCTTGAAGGAGGAGACAGCGGGAGCCGGTGTAGGTCCTCCGTCAAGCTGACTGTGAGCGCTGTCTCTGTACCTCAACTCTTGTGTCCCAACTCCAGCTGGCCAGAACCCAGGCACCCGATGGCCCCGGAAGGCAAGGGGAAATCCCAGTTGGCCGGACGCCAGAGGAGTCTCCTGTCTCTTTAGACCCCAAAGTCTCCTCCCTAAAGCACTGAGGGAGACCCCACACACATATACAGGCTTCCTCCGCCCACCAGAGGTGATTCCTTTCCTCATTAGGAAATTCTCCGCTCCCTTTTTCCGACTGCTTTTCCGAGCGTTTACGTTGTACATCTGGAAAGGAGTGGGGAGGAAGGAGGGGGAAGCAGAGAGGAGGGCGAAGAACCCAAACCCGCCCAGTCTAACCCAGTCCAGACAACCGGCTTCCAGCTGGGGCTGGGGAAAGGGGGTGGAGAGGTGCGCCCCCCCCACGCCCCTTAGGGGTGGGGGGCGCGGGCTCAGAGTTTCAGGGACCCAGGAATGCCCCCCCCCGCCATCCCCCTCGGCAGGCGGGGGGAGGGCTCAGCCGGGAGTTTGGCAAACTCCTCCCCGCGTTGAGTCATTCGCCTCTGGGAGGTTTAGGAAGCGGCTCCGGGTCGGTGGCCCCAGGACAGGGAAGAGCGGGCGCTATGGGGAGCCGGACGCCAGCGTCCCCTCTCCACGCCGTGCAGCGGCGCTGGGGCCCCCGGCGCCGACTCTCGCTGCTGCCGCTGCTGTTGCTGCTGCTGCTGCTGCCGCCGCCACCCAGGGTCGGGGGCTTCAACTTGGAAGCTGAGGCCCCAGCGGTGCTCTCGGGGGCCCCGGGCTCCTTCTTCGGATTCTCAGTGGAGTTTTACCGGCCGGGAACAGAGGGGTGAGTGAGGAGGGCTGGCGACGGGATGGGGGTGGGGGAGCCGCCCGGAGACTGGGGGCGCGGCTGGGGTCTGGAGGGGACCAGGGCTTGAGTTTCAGGGTGGAGTTTGGGGGGAGTAGAGCAGCAGTTGGGGGCCCGCGCTAGAACTGGGGGCCCGCGCTAGAACCGGGGGCCCGCGCTGGAGTAGGGAGGGCACCGTGGCGGGTGAGGAGGGGCCCTGGAGTTTGAGAGAGATCAGTGGGGATTCATGGGTCGCGTGGGGAGAGGACATGGAGCTGGAGAAGTCTGGGCAGGGGTCTCCCGGCCAAGGGAGAGGAGAGAGCGTCAACGGCGAGCTGAGGGTCTCAGGCTGAAGTCTGTGGGCCGCCGGGACCTGAGGCGGGTGGGGGCACAGAAGGGGCGCGGAGGCCGGGAAGGGCTTTTGGGGGCGCTAGGGAACCTCGGGATCCGTCAGGGCCATTGTGCGGCGAGAGAACGGGTCGAAGACGATTGAGCTACTTGTGGTAGGAGGGGAGTCAGAGACTGGGGGGGTCGGAAGGTTAACTGGGGGCCAGCCTCATCCTCCCCTCCCCCCTCAACTCAGACTGGGGAAAGACCCGGGAGAGGGACGGCGGCTCCCTCTCCTTTCTCCTCTGTCTCCTACTCTGCCCTCCACCCCCAATCTCTGTTCACGAGAGGGGATCCCAGAACTGGGGCGAATGCGGGGACCCTGGTACTGGGGGCGCTGGGACTGGAGGCGAACTCAGCCAAGGGCGGGTGCTCGGATGTGTCGGGAGGGGTGTGTGCGCGCGTGAAGGGGGGTGGGCGGTTTCCCTCTTCCTTTAGCTCTTGGGAGGAAGAGAAAAGCTGGTTTCCTGTAGCTGGTCGGCTGGAGCTATGCTGAGACCGGGACTTCTGGGGCTGGGGTCGGAAGCTGGGGAGATGCGGGCTCCGTGGGGCCTGGAGCGTCAGAATTAAGGACTCAAGACCCTGGAAGTCTCAAAGGAGGATTCTTATTCCCAACTCAGCAGAGTGAGAAGCAGACCCGGACCCCGAGTACCTAGAAAACGGGGTGCTGACAGGCTTGGGAAACCGGAGTTAGAGCGGAAGCAACATTAGAACCAAGGGTGTCTGTTTAAATGTGGGATGGGGGGGAGACTGGGAAGCAAGAGAGGGAGGTGGTGGCTCCTGGCCTGGGCCAGAGACCCTTAGAGGCCAGATTCCTGGTCCTCCACAATGACCGGGGTAATCCTTTTCCTTCTACATCTCTGAGCTGGAAGCTTCCCACTTCTCACCCCACCCACCCCCAGGATCTCAGGGTTTGAGGGGAATTCAGTCAGAAGGGACCTATTTTTACACAAGAGACAGTTAACTGATCTCTATTCATTCTCTATAGATTTTTGGAGAAAAGGGGTTCATCTAGCCAATACAATTGGGGAGAAAAGCAAATTCTCCTTTGTCTCGAGGACCTGGGGATGGGGGAAAGGAAAGATGATTAGGCCCCAGCTGTTGGTTCTGGGCTATTCAAGGTCCCCACCCCACCCCCACCCCACCCCCCTGGCCTTTTGCCCAAACCCCATTGCATCACCCTGGCCTGGAGCCTCTGCCAGGCCCGGTCCCCCCCAGGTTCCCCCAAACTTCTTATCACAGCCCTAATGGACTAGAGAAGAGGGAGGGAGGGAGGGGATGAGGTCTCCTCCCGCAGGTCAGATTATCTAGTTGTCCCCCATTTAACCTTCTCTTTACTCCCTCCTCCCCTAAAGGAGAGTGTTATTTCCCTTTAAAACACTCCTCTAAAACATCTGGACTTCACACATTCCTGGTCCCCTAGGTGTCTGTCTGGCCCCTGGCCTGATCCTTCTAAAACAGGACCCAGCTCTCTCAACCCTTGCCCCTCCCCTTCTGCTCATCTCCCCTCCCAAGAGAACCCAGGTGTCCAGCTTGCTCTCCTTCCCTCTCATTTCCGATTTACAACACCCTCTTACAGTAGGCCTCAGAACGTTCTACCTCCCCAGTGACCTCCTCCCACCACCGCTAGGCCTTCAGCCGCCCCCCCCCCGCCTCCCCTCAACACAGGACAAACATAGTGCCTCACCGACAGCCATTGCCTCAGTATTCCTGGTCTTCCTGCATCACCTCTCGTGGTGAACACCAAAACAGCATTGAAGGACAGGGTGAGCACCAGCGCGGTTACATGGTAGGAAAGGGTAGAGCTTTAACTCAGACAGAGGTAGGTGTGAGTCCTCACTACTTACTAGTTTTTTGTGTGGGATCCTAGCACCTAGGGTGAGGTACTTAAGCTCTTGGAGCCTGGTCTTCCCATGAAAATCAGACACCTAACGGAGTTCTGAGGACTAAATGAGAAAACATATACAAAAGGGACCTGGTCCACAGAGGGTGATCAATACCTGGGCGGCATGGGTTTCACGGGGTAGCTGTTTTGTTTCTGATTCTCTCCTTCCTGGCTACCGCCTAGTTCTTTGTTTAAGTTTTCCCCCATTTCTTTTTTTTTTTTTTTTTTTTTTTTGAGACGGAGTTTCGCTCTTGTTACCCAGGCTGGAGTGCAATGGCGCGATCTCGGCTCACCGCAACCTCCGCCTCCTGGGTTCAGGCAATTCTCCTGCCTCAGCCTCCTGAGTAGCTGGGATTACAGGCACGCGCCACCATGCCCAGCTAATTTTTTGTATTTTTAGTAGAGACGGGGTTTCACCATGTTGACCAGGATGGTCTCGATCTCTCGACCTCGTGATCCACCCGCCTCGGCCTCCCAAAGTGCTGGGATTACAGGCTTGAGCCACCGCGCCCGGCCAGGTTTTCCCCCATTTCTTACTTGCTTTGAGTATTTGCTTATCCTAGAGATAGTAACAATAGTCTCTCATATTCCGTTAGCACTTTCATATTGTGTTTTTCCATTGGATTATAACAAAAATCCTTGTATTAAAGCAAAGGAAGCCATTATTGCCCCATTTTTAGAGATATAAAAACTGAGGCTGGCCAGCCGCAGTGGCTCACACCTGTAATCCCAGCACTTTGGGAGGCCTAGGCGGGTGGATCACCTGAAGTCAGAAGTTCGAGACCAGCCTGACCAACATGGTAAAACCCTGTCTCTATTAAAAATATAAAAATTAGCCAGCATGCTGGCACACGCCTGTAATCCCAGCTACTCAGGAAGCTGAGGCCGGAGAATCACTTGCACCTGGGAGGCAGAGACTGCAGTGAGCTGAGACCGCAGTGAGCCGAGATCACGACACTGTACTCCCGACGGGGCGACACAGCGAGGGAGTCATAGAAATTTTGAACTAGAAGTTAGTTCAGTAAATATTCAAGGGAAATCCATCATTTTATGCTGGAGAATCCAAAGATTGAAGAGAGGAAGTGACAACCCAGAATACTTGAAAGCTTGAAAGGTAGGCCACTCTCAGCTCAGCTCCTTGTTCCCTTCTGCAACTGCCCCAAGTGGAGACAGCCGTTCTTCCCCAGCCAGTCATACATATCCCTTGTGAATGCACTGGGGGACCCTAAACCAGGTGTCCTCCTCTGGCCTGGCCCATGCTGCTGTAGGACCTATAGGAGCTGGCCGCTGGTCCACTTGCTGCCCTCCACCCCCGACCTTGTCGGGCCAACAGAGTCAAACAGTAACCCAGTATTGAACTGGGATTTGGTTAATCAGAAGCCTGGCTGGGGAGATAGTAGAGATGAGAGGAGGGAATAAATTGGCAATAGGGTAGACCAGAATGCTGTCCTAGGAATCAGGATTCCTGACTTCCGTCTCTGATTCTGGGAGGAAAGCTGAGTGACCTAAGCATATGACTTAACTCCTCTGGGATAGTTTTCCCACCTGCAAAATAAGAACATGGGACAAGGTGAGCAACTTTGAGCTTTTTCTTAAGGAGTGTTCAGAACGAGGCCAGACTGCCTATATGCCATGTGGCCTGAGGCGCCTACAGTAAAGTCTTAAACCCAGTGGATGCTCTCTACAGTGCCTGCTCGCTGTGGTAGTCTGTGTCTCTAAGGACCAACCCTTCCATTGCTGAGCTTCAGAATAAATTATGGCAATTATTTCTTCTCTCAGCCTCTATTTTGGAAAAGTGTACCTGCCAAACTGCATTTAGTAAGAAATAATTAATTCCTTTCCTCATTTTTTATTAACCAAAAACATCTATAGCTGCCAATCAGAGTTTCTGACCAGCATGAGATAACCAGGTTCCCACACGAGTTGATAGAATTCCAGCCAAAAGCAAATACACTTGAGGTTTTAATTAGCTTAGGCCACCTTATCTGGTAAATGCATGATTTCCGCTAGGCTCTCTGAAATATTGAAAATAGCCTGCGGACCCTCCATTGTTACCTTCTTAGACCCCTAAAAGTGCCCAGCTGCTGTAGGATTTAGAAAGCAGGAAGAAGATATGGGAAACCAAGGACAAACTGGCTTGCATGCCGTCCTGGCCCCAGTCACCTCACTTGGCAAGTTGGCGGAGGGGGCGGGGGGCACTACTTATTGGATTGACCGAGGGTTGCTGGGATGGAAGGGCCACTGCCTCTCCAGGTATGAGCCACGGGTAGTGTGGTGGGAGGGAGGGAGGCCCGGGTCTGTGCCACTTGCCTGCCTGCCAGGTATCCCGAACCATCACACAGTCAGAATGGATCTGCCCGCACAGGGCTTTACACACCTCATAAACTCTCCGTCTTGCAACCCTGCTAAACCAAGCGACTTCTTCAGGCCATCCCAGGAGTGTCAGGCTCAGCTCCTCTCCAAGAGCAGTGGGTATTGAGGAAATTGGGAGTAGGAATGGGCTCCCTTGGCCTTAGCCCTGTGCTCCAGGAAACTTTTGAGATAACCTCTTCTTCAGCCAGAGAAAGAGGAAGAGGGTATTGCCCAAGTCCACAGTTAGTGCCTAAACCTGAACTCTTGGCTCCTGGTCCAGTGCTTCTTTCACTGCTTCCTGTACCTCAGCTGTTCTGGTTCTAGTTCAGGTTGGTGGCCCTTTCTGCTTTCCAGAGGCTGAACATAGCAACCGAGTTCCCTGGGGGCTGCCCCTGCTGAGGGAGAGGGAGGTATACTCCTCTCACCTGACCCAGGCCTGGGGGCTGTGCAATCTCTCACCGTCAGCAGCCATAACCCCCAGTTGGATATAATGCCTGAGTGACAGGGGTGGGGCCTGGCGGGGAGCTGGGGATGTGGGAGACAAACGGAGAAGTGAGAGGTTGGAAACAGACAGGAAGCCACAGGCAGTCAACATTTCCTGTCCCCAGAGTAATGAGACTGGCACCTCCCCTCCCCACCCCCCCTAACTTCAGGAGCTCTCCCTCTTCGGCCTACCCGTCTCCTGTTCCTCTGGACCCTGCCTTCTCTCCCCTCCATTCTCCCACTGGCCCTCACAGACTCCTCCTCACTCCCCGTTTCTGTCGTCTCGGAACTGTTCTCTCTGTCGCCTCCATCCCCTGTACCTCCTGGACCACTCCTCCCCACCTCCGTGTACTTGGAAAATATCCCCGGCTCTTGTGGCCTCTACCATGATCCCTCACTTGGGCCTTCTTGCCTAGTGAGACAGCTGAGGAAGGTATTCAACTACCAGGGAAGGGCTAGGTAGTGGACAGGTTGAAAGCCGCAAGTGGACAGAAACCAGTAGAGATGGAGAAACCTAAAATCTAAGACAGAGAGACAGGATGCAAAAACCAAAACCAACAGAGCAAGCAGTCACAGGGGCAGAGGGACAGAGAGATTGAGAAGCAGTGCCAGAGGCAGACACAGAACAGAGCAGAGGCCAAGGCTGGCAAGGGCACTGGGTTGAGTTGCCCAGGCTGCCAGATACTGTGCTGGCAGGAGACCCTTAGGGGAAAGCCAGGAGAGCCAAGAGCTGTGTGGAGGTCTGGGAGGCAAGGGACCTGGAGATGAATGAGGCAGAACTGAGGGCAGGGAGACTGCCCAGGCCCTGAGCTATGACCACCCCATTACATAGGACCCCCAGCAGAGGCAAAACTTCTTATCTCAGGGGCAACTGAGGAACTGTGTCCAGAACTAGGACCCCAGTAGAGCAGACTTTGAATTCAGTCAGCTGGGGATGGTCTATGAGAAAGGGGTTCAAGGGCTGAGACAGAGACCCCAGTCAGGAAGGGGACATCCACACCAGGGCCGGGGTGAGGCAGGCCCAGTGGAACAATCTGTGTTCACTGTCCTCCAGCTCCTCTCTCCACTCCTGCTGCGTGATTTCCAAGACTCACATTTTCCTCCTACACACCCCAAGGCTGGGTGGCCGGGCAGCCGGATGCCTGGGTCTTGGCCCAGGGAGGGGATTTGGCTTGGGAGAAGAGTATATAGGCTAGATGAGAGACCCTGAGGCTCCAGAGGATCTTGGGGTTTCAGAGGCTGCACGTCTAATCTCGGCGGGTACTCAGAGGAGAGGGAGAAGCAGGGGTCCAGGATCTGGCCCCTCTTCTCCTCCTAGGAATTGACTCTGGTTCCTCCTCTCTTTATGAACAGGGGAAGGTAGGAGAGGAGAGAGAATGGCGGGAGGAGGGGAGGGTTGTATTAGTGACAGCGGCACATGGGGACCGCCTGACTCCAGCCTGTGCCTCTGGCATCTGTGGCATCTTCTGAGATATAAATACAACCCAGGGGGGCATCTACTCCACCCCCAGCCAGCCCCAGCCTAGAGGCCTGGGCCCTTCCCGCCTCCAGACACAGATGAAGAGCTCGGAGCCACTCTGAACTGCCTCTCCTTTCCCCTCCACAGGGTCAGCGTGCTGGTGGGAGCGCCCAAGGCTAACACCAGCCAGCCAGGAGTGCTGCAGGGTGGTGCTGTCTACCTCTGTCCTTGGGGCACCAGACACACAAACTGCACCCCCATTGAATTTGACCGCAAAGGTAGGCGGGTAAAATTCAGGGAGGAACTGGGGGTTGGGACTGCAGCCTGGGGGCGAGGCCTGGGTGGGGCCTGGGGCAGGGGGTGGAGCCTGCTCAGACCCCAGCCACGTGACCTCTCAGCACCAGCTCTGGTGCTCCAACCGCTTACAGTGGAACCCCATGGCACTCACTCCCCGTTCCCAGTCCAGCCCAGCCCAAGGAGGGCGGGCATGATTCAGAAACATGTGGCTCTCATTTCCCCTGAATCACCCACAACTCTGGGAGGCCAGGGCCGTAACACAGACAAAGACGGGGAGAGTTGCACAAACCGTTCAGTTCCTTTAATTGAGCACTGACTAAGTGACAGTGCATGACAGGCACTGTGCTGGAGCTGCCGGGGTTGCAGGATGACTAAGCCACTGCCCTGAAGGAGCTCCAGGTCTGAGTAGACACAAACGGACGGGAGGAAGACGGAGACTAACAACTATCACTTGCTCTGTGCCAGGCCAGTTGTGAACACTTTACATATATTAGCTCACTGAATCCTTTTAACAACTGCATAAGGTATTATTATCCTCATTTTATAAGTGAGGAGACAGAGTTTATCCAAGATTGTACCTCTGGCAAACACTGGAGCAAGGATATGAACTAGGGCCATCAGTCTCCAGAAATAGAGACTAAAAGAGGCCGGGCTCAGTGGCTCATGCCTGTAATCCCAGCACTTTGGGAGTCCAAGGCAGGTGGATCATTTGAGGCCGGGGTTTGAGACCAGACTGGCCATCATGGCAAAACGCTATCTCTGCTAAAAATACAAATACACCCTCTCAGGTGTGAGAAGCTGAGGCACAAGAATTGCTTGAGCCCAGAAGGCGGAGGTTTCAGTGAGCCGAGATCATGCCACTACACTCCAGCCTGGGTTACACAGAAAGACCCTTCTCAAAAAAAAAAAAAAAAAAAAAAAATTAGCCAGGCCTAGTGGTGAACACTTGTAGTCCCAGCTACTCTGGAGGTTGAGATGGGAGGATCACCTGAATGGGGAGGTCAAGGCTTCAGTGAGCGGTGATTGCCCCACTGCACTGTACCTGAGTGACAGAGCAAGACCATGTTTAAAAAAAAAAAAAAAAGAGGCCGAGGCCGGGCGCGGTGGCTCATGCCTGAAATCCCAGCACTTTGGGAGGCCGAGACGAGTGGATCACGAGGTCCAGAGATCGAGACCATCCTGGTCAACACGGTGAAAGCCCGTCTCTACTAAAAATACAAAAATTAGCTGGGCATGGTGGCACATGCCTTGTAGTCCCAGCTACTCGGGAGGCTGAGGCAGGAGAATTGCTTGAACCCAGGAGACGGAGGATGCGGTGAGCCGAGATCACGCCATTGCACTCCAGCCTGGGTAACAAGAGCGAAACTCCATCTCAAAAAAAAAAAAAGGTCAAGCACGGTGGCTCATGCCTGTAATCCCAGCACTTTAAGAGGGCAAGGCAGGCGGATCACGAGGTCAGGAGTTTGAGATCATCCTGACCAACATGATGAAATCCTGTCTTTACTAAAAATACAAAAAGTAGCTGGGTGTGGTGGCACACGCCTGTAATCCCAGCTACTTGGGAGGCTGAGGCAGGAGAATCACTTGAACCCATGAGGTGGAGGTTGCAGTGAACTGATGTTGCGCCACTGCACTCCAGCCTGGGCGACAGAATGAGACCCTATCTCAAAAAAGGAAGACAAAAAAAGGAGGTGTGACAAGATGCTGTTAAAGACACAGCCCAAGTACAGATAAAGAAGTACAGCCAAAGAGATCCCCGCTTGGTAAATAGCCACTGTTCCTCACCACCCTCCTCCTGCCTCCACTCCACAGCGGGCATCCTTGTCTCAGCTGGGTGAGAAATCGGGAACCATGGGGAGGCAACTCTAGAAAACCCAGGTTCTGTGTGGGTGTGTGTGCGTGTGTGTGTGCACGTGTGTGCGTCTGTGTGCATGCATGTGTGTGTGTGCATGTGTGTGTGCGTATGTGTGTAGAGGAGAGGTAAGTCAGGCTACACAAAACAGAATTAAGCTCCTTCCCCACTCCGCACTCCCAGTGAGTCATGGAGTCTCTGGGCTGGGAAGCATTCATTCGGTATCCCCAGGCTGAGGGTAGGGGCCGCCCTAGTGCTCAACCATCCATGGCTCAGCGAGACTCCCCCTTCTCACTCCCACAAGGCTCTCGGCTCCTGGAGTCCTCACTGTCCAGCTCAGAGGGAGAGGAGCCTGTGGAGTACAAGTCCTTGCAGTGGTTCGGGGCAACAGTTCGAGCCCACGGCTCCTCCATCTTGGTGAGGGCCCAGCAGGCTCAGTGGTGTGGTAGCCAGGGGATGGGCAGTGGTTGGGTAAGGCCGGGCCTGGAGGGAGGGAGGACGGGGCTTACTGGACTAAATCTGACGGCCCCTCCTCCTGCGCCCTCCCAGGCATGCGCTCCACTGTACAGCTGGCGCACAGAGAAGGAGCCACTGAGCGACCCCGTGGGCACCTGCTACCTCTCCACAGATAACTTCACCCGAATTCTGGAGTATGCACCTTGCCGCTCAGGTACGGACAAGAGGGGTCCTGTGCCCATGTCTGCCCTCTCCATGGAGTGTCTCATATACTTAGGGCTGACTCACGCCCCCGTGTTCCCCTGTGAGGTTCTAAGAGACCAAGTATGTTGCTTAAGATAAAGGCTAAACCAGTTAGTTAGCCTTTATGCTTACTGTCTGGCCCCGGAAGACCCTTTCTCTGGTTCTCTGTCCCACCTCCTTCCCTATGCCCTCTGTTCTTTCCTGGCCGACCCATCTGTGCAGGGCTCATTTTCACCACCTTCTCCTCTCACAGATTTCAGCTGGGCAGCAGGACAGGGTTACTGCCAAGGAGGCTTCAGTGCCGAGTTCACCAAGGTGAGAGAGTGGTCTGGGAGAAAAGGGGCATGGGTAGTGGAGGCAGGGGGCTCGAGACCAGATGTCAGACTCCCCTCCTTTCACCCACAGACTGGCCGTGTGGTTTTAGGTGGACCAGGAAGCTATTTCTGGCAAGGTAAGTCCGGTCTCTGCTATTCTTTAAATCCCCTGGCACATAGCCTCCCACCCTACTCCCAATTCTCCCTTTCCCTTCCTGAAATTTCTGTACTACCACCCTCCCCATGCTTCCCTTTCTTGAACCAGACTTCTGAACTACTACCCAGTCAGCCCCAGAGCCCCTCTGCCAGATCCCCTCCATCTACTCCCTCCTCATCCTCTCTCCAGGCCAGATCCTGTCTGCCACTCAGGAGCAGATTGCAGAATCGTATTACCCCGAGTACCTGATCAACCTGGTTCAAGGGCAGCTGCAGACTCGTCAGGCCAGTTCCATCTATGACGACAGCTACCTAGGTGAGCCAGCAAGAGGGGAAGGGATGGCAGAGGGAGAATCTCAAGTGTTCCTGTCCCCACTCACCCCCTTGCCTCCCTTCCCCTACTCGGCCATCCCTAGCCATACTTGTCATGTGTATGCTTATTATGAAGACCCAGTAGGGGTGGGGAAGGGACTGGGGATAGGCCAGGGTAGAGGGGTCCCCAAAGCAGGAATCCTAACATCCACCCACCATGTCTCCCAGGATATTCCGTGGCCGTGGGTGAATTCAGTGGTGACGACACAGAAGGTGAGTGTGTCCCTAGGCTGGGACCAAAGGAGGGGGTGGTTAGAGGCCCAGGGCCTGAGAACCCATGTACTTGGATGCTCACCATTATCCACTTCCCTTTCCCCACCCTTAGGTCACAACTTTCTCTTCTCTTTGCAGACTTTGTTGCTGGTGTGCCCAAAGGAAACCTCACTTACGGCTATGTAAGACCCAGCCTGACCCCTCACTTCCTCTCCTCCCCTGGCTAATCACAAAGAACCATGCATGGCAGTTTGCGAGGGCTTTTTGTTTTTTTTTTGTTTGTTTTTTGTTTTTTGTGAGACAGAGTCTTGCTCTGTCGCCAGGCTGGAGTGCAGTGGCGTGATCTTGGTTCACTGCACTCTCCACCCTCCTTCATGGGTACAAGTGATTCTCCTGCGTCAGCCTCCCGAGTAGCTGAGATTACAGGCACGTGCCACCACACCCGGCTAATTTTTGTATTTTTAGTAGAGACAGGGTTTCACCATGTTGGCCAGGATAGTCTCAATCTCCTGACCTCAAGATCCTCCTGCCTTGGCCTCCCACAGTACTGGGATTACAGGCATGAGCCACCAGGCCCTGCCCATTCTGCTCTTTTTTTTTTTTTTTTTTTTGAGATGGAGTTTCGCTCTTGTTACCCAGGCTGGAGTGCAATGGCGCGATATCGGCTCCACAACCTCCGCCTCCTGGGTTCAAGCAATTCTCCTGCCTCAGCCTCCTGAGTAGCCGGGATTACAGGCATGCACCACCATGCCCAGCTAAGTTTTTGTATTTTTAGTCGAGACGGGGTTTCACCATGTTGACCAGGATGGTCTCGATCCACCCGCCTCGGCCTCCCAAAGTGCTGGGATTACAGGCTTGAGCCACTGCGCCCGGACCATTCTGCTCTTTATTCATACTCTGCTTCCTGCTGAACCTCTCTGAGCCTCCTTCTTCTCTGTGTAATGAGATAACAATCATTCTGACCTCACAAGCCTCTTGCAAGGACAATATGAGAAAATGTATGTGAAAGTGCTCGATGAATTGTTAGGCAATGTACAACAGGCAGATGTTATTATTAGACCAGGACAAGTGCTTTTAAAAAGATACAGATAAGAGTGCCATAGGAGTTTGTTCAATTAACAGCATTTATTAAGGCAAGGTAAGAGATAAGAAGATGAATAAGGTATCCTACCCCATCTTATAAGATGCTTCTAATCAAATGGGATAGATAAGACACACATACGACTGTGATCTAAAGCAGAGCCACGATTCCTTCTCTTCTCAGTGCATCAGGCACCTTCTATTCATGATTTCTATTCTTCACAACAAGCCTGTGGGGTAGATATTACCATCTGTATTTTACATGTGAGAACCCTGAGGTTCTAAGAGACCAAATAAGTTGTTTAAGATCACCCAGTTAGTAAGCAGGTTTAAAATCAGGCCTATCTTAATCCAAAATCAGGATTCTTTCTGCACTTCGATAAACTTCAGAAAAGTAGATACAGTGACATAGCAGTTTAGAGGAAAGAATAATCTCCTTTCTAGGATAAGGATGGTAACAAGTTTGGGAAGTCAGGAAATAAAAAGTTAAATTGTTTTAAAAAGAAGAGGACAGATCAGAGAAGGTTCTGTGAAGCTTCAGCAGAGATGAGGCAAGAGGGCATCCCTATGCAGGAGCATGAAAGAGATGAAAGAAAAAAAAAAAAAAAAGCGGGGCGTGGTGGCTCACATCTGTAATCCCAACACTTTGGGAGGCTGAGGCAGGAGGATCACAAAGTTGGGAGTTCAAGACCAGCCTGTCCAACATGGTGAAACCTCGTATATACTAAAAATACAAAAATTAGCTGAGCCTGGTGGCAGCCACCTATAATTCCAGCTACTCGGGAGGGTGAGGCAGGAGAATCACTTGAACCCAGGAGGCAGAGGTTGCCATGAGCTGAGATTGTGCCACTGCACTCCAGCCTAGGCAACAAGAGCAAGACTCCATCTCAAAAAAAAAAAAAAAAGAAAAAAGAAAAGGAAACAATTACAGCCCAGCTTAGCAGACTCATGAGCTGATTGAAGATAAGGAGAATATGGAAAGATCAAGCAAAAACAGATAGGTTAGGCCCAGATTCTGCAGAGCCTTGGAGGACCAGCCAAGAAGTTGAGACTTTAGGCAGCGGCTGCAGGGAGCCACTGGATTTCTGAGCCAGAGGTAGCCTCCCAGATCTGCTGTAGGGCAATCAGCCAGCCTGGCTGCAGTGGGGGTTGGGGAAGAGTGCCTATAGGAAAGGAGAGCTGGAGGCAGGGACATTGTCAAGACATCTGTCCGGCAGTCCTGGGAAAGGGCTCACACCAGGTCACAGCAGTGAGAGTGAAGAGAGCAAGGATTCAAGAGACCCGGTGGGGTGGGTCACTAAGGAAACATAGGGGAGACATGGTGTTTGTGGTCTGGGGGGAATGGAGGAGGAGAATGACTTGGGTTTTTTTTTTTTGAGACGGAGTTTTGCTCTTGTTACCCAGGCTGGAGTGCAATGGCGCGATCTCGGCTCACCGCAACCTCCGCCTCCTGGGTTCAGGCAATTCTCCTGCCTCAGCCTCCTGAGTAGCTGGGATTACAGGCGCGTGCCACCATGCCCAGCTAATTTTTTTGTATTTTTAGTAGAGACGGGGTTTCACCATGTTGACCAGGATGGTCTTGATCTCTCGACCTCATGATCCACCCGCCTCGGCCTCCCAAAGTGCTGGGATTACAGGCTTGAGCCACCGCGCCCGGCCGACGACTTGGGTTTTAAACACGATCGGTTTGAGGCACCAGTGCACATTTAGTCAGAATTATTGAGCGCTTACTACTCACCGAGCACTACTTTAGGCTCTGAGGAGAAAGCAAAGAACAAAATCAAGTTCCTGCCCCTATTGATCTTACATTCTAGTGGGTAGAGACAGACAACAAACACATAAATGCAAAATCTGTCAGTAGTTGGCGATTGATATGGAAACAAATAGTGAAGCAAACCGAGGGTGGACCTACCTGGCAGACAGGTGGGAACATGAGGGCAAAGCTGAGGAGGAGTTAGGGACTGTGGTGTGTGTCTCTAAGGAATGCCTGCCCCTGAGTGTCCTGTACACACCTGTTTTTTAACCACGGGATGCTCTGGGAGCCCCGGGCCAATGGGCCTGTCTCTTTATCCCTCAGGTCACCATCCTTAATGGCTCAGACATCCGATCCCTCTACAACTTCTCAGGAGAACAGGTAAGGCTACCTCTCAGCCCCACCCCAGCTAGACCCACTGCCAACAAAGCCCCAGCCCTGGCCTAATAATGTCAGCCCCACTTCCCAGCCCCTCTTGATCCTGTTTATTGAACCTTCGAGTTCTGACCCAGGGCTCCCCCTTTGTCCTCTCCAGATGGCCTCCTACTTCGGCTATGCAGTGGCTGCCACAGACGTCAATGGGGACGGGTGAGCAGTGGGAAATGAGCACACGTGATACCTCTCCCAGATCAAGAGGGAAAAGTGGGAACGGGACGGAAAATGCAAGGAGAGTTTCTCCAGGTCTTTTCCTCTAGACTCTCACTCATACCTGCATTCCCCTTGCTCAGGGACAAGGAAAGAGCTGAGCGCTAATGATCAGAAACCTCAGGTCTTCTAATTTGATGAGATCCACAGTGCCTGGGATTTCTGGCACTAGGATTGGGGTAGGGGTGGCGAGACAGGGTAAAGAGTTACCTGGGTTTGCCCTTCCCCTCAGGCTGGATGACTTGCTGGTGGGGGCACCCCTGCTCATGGAGCGGACCCCTGATGGGAGGCCTCAGGAGGTGGGCAGGGTCTACGTCTACCTACAGCACCCAGCTGGCATAGAGCCCATGCCCACTCTTACCCTCACTGGCCATGATGAGTTTGGCCGATTTGGCAGCTCCTTGACCCCCCTGGGGGATCTGGACCAGGATGGCTACAATGGTGAGTACTCCTCAGAGAGTGAAAGAGGAGGCAGGGGCCCAAGTCAGAAGGGATTTGGGGAGAGGGCATCTGTCAGCTAAGATACCCAGACCTCCATGACTTCCCAAGGGGTTAAAATCCCACTGTCTGGGTCTTGGGATTTGAAGAGATTCGAACACAGGGATTGACAGATGGGAAAAACTAGGGTCCTGGGTCCTGAGGTCTGGTAGTAGAGATTTGGGCCCCTGGATTCCTGGCCTGCTGACTAGCGCATGTTCTGTGTCTTCCAGATGTGGCCATCGGGGCTCCTTTTGGTGGGGAGACTCAGCAGGGAGTAGTGTTTGTATTCCCTGGGGGCCCAGGAGGGCTGGGCTCTAAGCCTTCCCAGGTTCTGCAGCCCCTGTGGGCAGCCAGCCACACCCCAGATTTCTTTGGTTCTGCCCTTCGAGGAGGTCGGGACCTGGATGGCAACGGATATCCTGGTGAGTTGTGCCTAAGGCCCTTTTTCACCTTAAAATTCCGTGGTGACTGACCTCTACCCTCTTCTGCACCTTTCCTGAGTTCCTGGGTGCGGTTCTAGGCTAATTCCACCAGAGGGCGCTGTCTTCTCACATCAACCTTGAGCACTGAAACCAGAAGGGGTTAGAAAGGATCCTGATTTGGGGCTTGCTGTAAGAGGTGATTTTTTGACTTCTTGCAGATCTGATTGTGGGGTCCTTTGGTGTAGACAAGGCCGTGGTATACAGGTATGAACTCCCAGGGAAGTTGAGGGACAACCTGGGGGGACTGGAACTGGGAATTTCTCAACAGAGCTGAGGTAGGGAAAATCAACGCAGAGGACACGCATTCTGGGGCTTGGGCATCAGTTTCCTGTGTCCAGGCTACAGAGGATCCTAATTCTATTGACCCCACGTTTGCTCTTGGCAGGGGCCGCCCCATCGTGTCTGCCAGTGCCTCCCTCACCATCTTCCCTGCCATGTTCAACCCGGAGGAGCGCAGCTGCAGCTTAGAGGGGAACCCTGTGTCCTGGTGAGCTGGCACCCAGGAAATTGCAGAGACCTGAGCCTGGGAGTGGGTAGGGGTACCAAGTATGCCTTAGGAAGGGGAAAATGGGGGTGTCCTAGTCCGGGTCTGGCTGGGAGATAGGCAGAGGATGGGATGTCTGTTCCGGTTGGATTCACCAGCTTTCTTCTTGGTCTTTCTCCAGCATCAACCTTAGCTTCTGCCTCAATGCTTCTGGAAAACACGTCCCTGACTCCATTGGTGAGGGAGACTGCCTGGAGATCTCAGGCCCTGGGACAGGGGACAAAGAGACTGGGGACCTGGGGACATTTCTTCTCTCTGAAAAGATGAGGAGAGACAATCAAATTCCCCTTCTGTGTCCCTGGCTGCAGGCTTCACAGTGGAACTTCAGCTGGACTGGCAGAAGCAGAAGGGAGGGGTACGGCGGGCACTGTTCCTGGCCTCCAGGCAGGCAACCCTGACCCAGACCCTGCTCATCCAGAACGGGGCTCGAGACGATTGCAGAGAGATGAAGATCTACCTCCGGGTATGGCCCAGAGGGCAGGGTATGGACTGGCCAGGGAGGGTGGCCACATAGAACTGAGGGCCCCTCCTGAAGAGAAAGACTAGGAGATTCCAGTGAAGGGTTTGGGACTCTTGGGGAACAGAGAAAGGGAGACCTTCTGTCAGAGGAGCTGGGAAGCAGGCTGCCAGGGCCTCTGAAACCATTCTGAGGATGGTCAGAATTTGGCCCTAAGCAGACAAAGGGAGATGAGCCATCAAGTCCCCAGAGACCCCTGACTCTGTGAACTCTCTCCTCTGGCCCTAGAACGAGTCAGAATTTCGAGACAAACTCTCCCCAATTCACATCGCTCTCAACTTCTCCTTGGACCCCCAAGCCCCGGTGGACAGCCACGGCCTCAGGCCAGCTCTACATTATCAGAGCAAGAGCCGGATAGAGGACAAGGTGAGGACAAGGCAGGAAGAAGGGACCTGGGAGGACAGAGGCCTGGGGACTAGGGGGCAGGGCCCTGGAAAGAGAAGAGCCTGCAGCCCAGGAGTGGGTCTAAACTTCCCCCTCTCAAGGCTGTCCTGCTCCCCAGGCCCAGATCCTGCTGGACTGTGGAGAAGACAACATCTGTGTGCCTGACCTGCAGCTGGAAGTATTTGGGTAAGTAGCGGCTGACAGTGAGCTGGGGAGTTCAGGTGCACCTGGCACCGGAAACAGCCAAGTAGGGACATACCAGCTGTGTCGCCTTGGGAAGTTGCTGAGCTTCTCTGAGCTTTAACTTATTGGCATAGTGAGAATAGTAGCATTTATTTCTCTGACTTTTTGGAAAGATTACATGAAATAAGCTACATAAAAAAATCTAGCCTGTGCCTGCCATAGAGTTAGAACCCACTAAACAGTGTGTGTTATTACTGTTATTACTCTTATAATGGTCCTTTGTCCTGGTTTGAGGATCAATTCCCCAGTGTCCCTTACACTCTGTGTCCCCTCCAGGGAGCAGCGCCATGTGTACCTGGGTGACAAGAACGCCCTGAACCTCACTTTCCACGCCCAGAATGTGGGTGAGGGCGGTGCCTATGAGGCTGAGCTTCGGGTCACGGCCCCTCCAGAGGCTGAGTACTCAGGACTCGTCAGACACCCAGGGGTGAGATGAGACTCTCGAGTGGGATTGGGAGGACACCCCTCCAGAGGGGACACCAAAACCTGACCAGCACCCACCCCACCTCCAGAACTTCTCCAGCCTGAGCTGTGACTACTTTGCTGTGAACGAGAGCCGCCTGCTGGTGTGTGACCTGGGCAACCCCATGAAGGCAGGAGCCAGTGTAAGTCTAGGATAAGAGGATGGGGTCCGGGCGCGGTGGCTCACACCTGTAATCCCGAGGCGGGCAGATCCTGAGGTTAGGAGATCAAGAGCATCCTGGCCAACATAGTGAAACCTGTCTCTACTTAAAATACAAAAGTTAGCTGGGCATGGTGGCACGTGCCTGTAATCCCAGCTACTCAGGAGGCTGAGGCAGGAGAATAGCTTGAACCAGGAAGTCAGAGGTTGTGGTGAGCCAAGACGGTGCCACTGCACTCCAGCCTGGCAACAAAGAGAGAGAGACTCCATCTCAAAAAAAAAAAAAAAAAAAAGGATGAGGCAAAGGGAGAGCGGACCTGAGGGCAGATGTGAAATGAGGAGGGAGGGCTGAAATACACGGTCTAACTGCCCTATTTTCCTCCTGTTCTGCCCCCAGCTGTGGGGTGGACTTCGGTTCACAGTCCCCCATCTCCGGGACACTAAGAAAACCATCCAGTTTGACTTCCAGATCCTCAGGTAGGGAGTGAGTGTGTCTAGGCTGGGGCTGGGCTGGGGATGAAGGGGAGGGCTGGGCACAGTTCTCAGCGGCTGTGCTCCAGGACGTCAGTCTTGCCTCCATCCCACAGCAAGAATCTCAACAACTCACAAAGCGACGTGGTTTCCTTCCGGCTCTCCGTGGAGGCTAAGGCCCAGGTCACCCTGAACGGGTCAGTGCCAGGCAGAAGGGGGTCTTTTTGAGAGGGGAGACGGACTTCTAGGGAAGGATGCATATGGGGTCCCTTCTACCCTCCTCTAAAACACCCTCCTCCTTAGTGTCTCCAAGCCTGAGGCAGTGCTATTCCCAGTAAGCGAGTGGCACCCCCGAGACCGGCCGCAGAAGGAGGAAGACGTGGGACCCGCTGTCCACCATGTCTACGAGGTAAAGAGGGATAGGAGGCAGGGAGGACTGGGCCCCAGGCAGGCCAGGCTAGAGGGAGGGAAGGGGCAGGGCCAGAATGAATGACGGGAAAGGAGGACACTCCTCGTATGAGTGACAGATGGCTGGAACCAGCATGAGGGACTGAAAGGAAGAGAGGAGGGAGGGGTAAGTGATATATAAGCAAAGGCAGGAGGCAGTGTCCTGTGAGAAACAGCCAGAGAGACAGGCCAGTTGAGTGACTTGGAAAGAAAGATGGAGCCCCCTCCAAAAGTGTTGGTTAGAGAGGATTTCATCTCTGCCCGCTGGTTCCCTGCTTCATCTCTGAGATAGGAGCCCGACGGCAGGGTACAGTGGAGCCATGGTGACCCAAGACCTCCAGGGGCAGGAGCATTCCCTTCCGTCCCATGATGATTGTGCTCTTCCCTCCTCAGCTCATCAACCAGGGCCCCAGCTCCATCAGCCAGGGCGTGCTGGAGCTCAGCTGTCCCCAGGCTCTGGAAGGTCAACAGCTCCTGTATGTGACCAAATTTACAGGACTCAACTGCACCCCCAGTCACCCCATTAACCCAAAGGACCTGGAGGTGAGGGCCTGAACACTGGCATGGGGAAGGGGAGCAGGTTCAGGGGACCAAGGCTGAGGGGTTGGGGAAGGTGGCTGGAGGCCTACGAGAGGCGATGAGGACATGCTCATAGCTGGGCTGAGTGTCACAAGGCCCAGAGGTACCTCAAAAGCCTCTGGAGGAAAAACGACTTTCATCCACTGTGTTTCCTTCTGCCTCAACTATCCCTTCTTTGTTTCCCGGCATACCCCTAGGGCCGTGTTGTGTGCCACCTCCTCTAGGAAGCCTTCTTCAAACCTTTTCTTCTGGGCCCCAGTGCCTGTTTTATAGTTCATTTACTCATTAACATTTAGTTGAATGAGTGCTGTACTGAACACTGTTAAGCCCAGGAAATATTGCATCAAACAAAACTGACAGTCCTCACATTCATGGAACTTAACATTCTAGTGAAGGATGTTAGACATAGACAATAAAAAGAGGCCGGGGCGCTGTGGCTCACGCCTGTAATCCCAGCACTTTGGGAGGCTGAGGCGGGCGGATCAAGAGTTCAAGAGATCGAGACCATCCTGGCCAACACAGCGAAACCCCATCTCTACTAAAAATACAAAAATTAGCCAGGCGTGGTGGTACGCACCTGTAATCTCAGCTACTCGGGAGGCTGAGGCAGGAGAATAGCTTGAACCCGGGAGTTGGAGGTTGTAGTGAGTCGAGATCGTGCCACTGCACTCCAGCCTGGCAACAGAGAAAGACTCCCTCTCAAAAAAGAAAGAAAATAAATAAAAAGAGAAGGAGAAAATGAACAGGGATTGAAAGGTGATGAAAGTAAAGTGTTAATAAGCTGTGGGGAGACGATTTAAATTGAATCATCGGAAAATCTCCTGAAGACCGGCTGGATTGAGGCCTGAAAGATGAGGGTGAACCTACCTACGAGACTCAGGGATGAGCAATCCAAAGCAAGGGAACAGCCAGTGCAAAAACAGGAACAAGGACCTAATTATTGATTTAAGCGTCTCCTCCAATGTGAACTCCAAGAACCAAGTTTTCTTCATTTCCGTATTTTAACACTGAGCCCGGTGCATTGCACATAGAAGCGGGACAGTTGGATGGATGAATAAAGAGACAGACGAAAGAATAGGTTGAAGCTGCTCCGGAACCCAGGTGCGGGCTGACTTAGAAGCTGTAATGAGATGGGAAAGGGGCCCAACAGTCTCTTTCTCTCGTAGTTGGTTCCCGAGGGTTCCCTGCACCACCAGCAGAAACGGGAAGCTCCAAGCCGCAGCTCGGCTTCCTCGGGACCTCAGATCCTGGTAAGTCAGGCGGGGAATGAGGTGTGGACCAAAGTGTTGAGTGCTTGTTTGGGTTCTCAGAGGCATCACAAGGCCAGAACACCGGGTCCAAGCTTCTTTGTTCCTAGAAATGTCCGGAGGCCGAGTGTCTCAGGCTGCGCTGCGAGCTGGGGCCCCTGCACCAACAAGAGAGCAAAAGTCTGCAGTTGCATTTCCGAGTCTGGGCCAAGACCTTCTTGCAGGTGAGGAAGCCTTACCTCAGCCCTAACCCTTGACCTTTGGGGCTGCTTAGACTGACCCACCCCTTTCTCCACTGCAGTAGCCCCCTGTCCTTTGGTGAATGGGACCCAGCACTCCAGCTCCCTCCCCTTCCTTGCCCAGGCTGTAGGTCCTTAGCGCCACCTAGTGGCCAAAGTGGGAGCAGCCGCTTCCCTTTCCTTGCCCATTCAGAGGAGGGCGGGCTGAAGGGAGACCAGTGTGCAAAGAATGATAGAAAAACAGTGAAATGGAAGATGAATACACAGTGGCGAGGTAAGCAGATGTAGGAATAGTAAAGAGCAGTCATTGCTTGAGCACACATTGCAAGCCAGGCACTGTCCTGGTGTCAAAGCACATTAATGGGCACCGTGGCTCATGCTTGTAATCCCAGCACTTTGGGAGGCCAAGGCGGGCGGATCACGAAGTCAGGAGATCGAGACCATCCTGGCTAACACGGTGAAACCCTGTCTTTACTAAAAATACCAAAAAATGAGCCAAGTGTGGTGGCACACACCCGTAGTCCCAGATACTCAGGAGGCCGTGGCAAAAGAATCGCTTGAACCCGGGAGGCGGAGGTTGCAGTGAGCCGAGATCCCACCACTTCACTCCAGCCTGGGTGACAGAGCGAGACTCCGTCTCAAAAAAAAAAAAAAAAAAAAAAAAGGCCGGGCGCGGTGGCTCAAGCCTGTAATCCCAGTACTTTGGGAGGCCAAGGCGGGTGGATCACGAGGTCAAGAGATCGAGACCATCCCGGTCAACATGGTGAAACCCCGTCTCTACCAAAAAATACAAAAAATTAGCTGGGCATGGTGGCGCGTGCCTGTAATCCCAGCTACTCAGGAGGCTGAGGCAGGAGAATTGCCTGAACTCAGGAGGCGGAGGTTGCGGTGAGCCGAGACCGCGCCATTGCACTCCAGCCTGGGTAACAAGAGCGAAACTCCGTCTCAAAAAATAAAAATAAAAATAAATAAAGCACATTAATGCTTCAAAAAATATATTTTTATTGAACATGTAGTCATCTAATTATATATTATTATTCAGTTACACATTTATTATCTCATATAAGGAATATCAAGAGAGGCTCAGGGGCCAGGCCCAGTGGCTCACACCAGTAATCCCAGCACTCTGGGAGGCTGAGGTTCAGCCAGAAGTTTGAGACCAGCCTGGGCAACATGGCGAAACTGCATCTCTACAAAAACAAAACAAAACTAGCTAAGCGTGGTGGCACATGCCTGTAGTCCCAGCTACTCAGGAGGCTGAGGCAAGAGGATTGCTTGAGCCCAGGAGGTGGAGGTTGCAGTGACCTAAGACCACACCACTGCACTCCATCCTGGGAGACGGAGTAAGACCCTGTCTCAAAAAAGAGAGAAAGAGAGAGACTCAGCAAGAATGAGTCAAAATAGGGAACGATCACAACCCCAGCCAGACCATGGGGAACCCTATGTCTTCTGGATCCCAAGAGAGGATGTGCTGACCAACCTTCCCCACCCACAGAGGAAGCACCAGCCATTCAGCCTGCAGTGTGAGGCTGTGTACAAAGCCCTGAAGATGCCCTATCGAATCCTGCCTCGGCAGCTGCCCCAAAAGGAACGTCAGGTGAGTCTAGGGCCAGAGGACTGGACGAGGGAATACTGGGCTCAGAGTGCTGGAACTAGGGCTGGGACATGGGTGTGGGCTGGCCTTATTATTGTTGACAACTGTTGAAAGTCTATGTGCCAAGCACTGTGCAGATGCCAGAGACAGAGTGGTAAGCAAGATCAACGTGGTATCTTTGCTCCTGGAGTTCGCAGTCTCATGGAACAACACAGTGTTCCAAGTGTGGTGATATTTATGATATTTATGAAAACACAGTAGGAACACCCGAACCCAGTCTAGCTGGGTCAGGGAAGGCTTCTTGGAAGAAGTGATGTTCAAGCTGAGACCTGAAGAATAAATAGGAGCTAACCAGCCTAGCCATTCAGGAAAGGGATATCTTGAAGAGAGGTGAATAACAGATATGAGGCCGAGTGCAGTGGCTCACACCTGTAATCCCAGCACTTTGGGAGGCTGAGGCAGGTGAATCGCAAGGTCAGGAGATCAAGACCATCCTGGTCAACATGGTGAAACCCTGTCTCTACTAAAATACAAAAAAATTAGCTGGGCGTGGTGGCACACACCTGTAGTCCCAGCTACTTGGGAGGCTGAGGCAGAGGAATGGTTTGAATCTGGGAGGCAGATGTTGCAGTGAGCCAAGATCACACCACTGCACTCCAGCCTGGGTAACAAGAGCGAAACTCCATCTCAAAAAAAAAAAAAAAAAAAAAGTTTGAGACCAACCTGAGCAACATAGTGAGACCCCATCTCTACAAAAAATACAAAAATTAGCCAGATGTGGTAGCGTACATCTGTGGTCCCAGCTACTGAGGAGGCTGAGGCAGGAGGATCGCTTGAGGCCAGGAGGTGGAGGTTGTAGTGAGCTGAGATCACCCCACTGCACTCCAGCCTGAGTGACAGAGTGAAACCATCTAAAAAAAAAAAAAAACGGATAAAATACGCAAGGCCAAAAGCAAGAGACAATATTGTATATTTTAGGAACTTAAATTTTTAAGTTCAGAATGACGTTAGTTCAAAATAAGTTGGGAAGTGGCTCTAGATCCGATGACAAGTGAGAGCCAAGTACAGAGGAGAAAGAACTTCTGAGCTCTCACTGACTTCACCCAATTTGCTCCCCAGGTGGCCACAGCTGTGCAGTGGACCAAGGCAGAAGGCAGCTATGGCGTCCCACTGTGGATCATTATCCTAGCCATCCTCTTTGGCCTCCTGCTCCTGGGTCTCCTCATCTACATCCTCTACAAGGTCAGCCACATCCTGCTCATGACTTGGCCACCCTCTCATCAGGCTCTGCCCTTGACCTAACACAGTGCACAGTAGCTACCTCTAGAGAAGTTCACCAGCCATATGCCTCCACCTCTGTCCTGGCTACATGCATCCCTTCTTATAGGATCCCTCCCTTCCTTCTATAGCCCCCAGCTTAGCAAGGGTCCTCTTGACTCAAAATGGTAAGTTTGCCTAAACTCACAAAATCAGTGTAATCTACAGATGGCAAATATATGGCATTTGTGCTGTCAGTTTCTCCAGAAATCCATGGCAGCCATCACTAACCTAGAAATGGCTAGTGATCATCTCCAAGAAGTGGCTTCAGAATCTCCCTCTCAGGAGGCAGCCATGGCCAGACGCGGTGGCTCACACCTGTAATCCCAACATTTTGGGAGGCCAAGGTGGGAAGACAGCTTGAGCCCAGCAATTCAAGACCAGCCTGGGTAACACAGTAGGACCTTGTCTCTACAAAAAAACACAAAGGTTATCCAAGTGTGGTGGTGCATGCCTATAATCTCAGCTACTCTGGAGGCTGAGGTGGGAAGATGGCTTGAGCCCAGGAGTTTGAGGCTACAGTGAGCCATGATCATGCCACTGCACTCCAGGCTGGTCAACAGAGTGAACCCTGTCTCAAAAGCAAACAAACAAAAGCAGCCGCTACTCGGCAATCAGACTTGGCACTTGAGTTCAAACCTATTTGCCATTTCTGGCTTAACTGGGGAATTTTCAAGGCACTGGTAAAAGACACCCCCCATACAAAACCACCCCTAGTCCTCCTGGGTCCATTGCACAACTTAGAGGCGTAGTCCTAGCCTGAATTCTGAGGCTGCTTTTGCAGGATGTAGAGGGTGGAAACCCTAAAGTCCTCCGTATTACTTCTTGGGATAAGAGCTGTAGAGAAATGGCAGCCATAGTACCTAAACTCTCCCTCTTCTCCTCTTTATCAGCTCGGATTCTTCAAACGCTCCCTCCCATACGGCACTGCCATGGAAAAAGCTCAGCTCAAGCCTCCAGCCACCTCTGATGCCTGAGTCCTTCTAATCTCAGACTCCCAATCCTGAAGACCAGTCCCCCGACCCTCATTCTACTGAAAGGGAGGGGATTGGGTACTTCCTGAAGGTGCTGAGGGCCAGGGAGAAGCTCCTCTCCCCAGCCCAGAGACATACTTGAAGGGCCAGAGCCAGGGGGGTGAGGATCTGGGGATCCCTCCCCCCCATGCACTGTGAAGGACCCTTGTTTACACATACCCTCTTCATGGATGGGGGAACTCAGATCATCCAGGGACAGAGGCCCCAGCCTCCCTGAAGCCTTTGCATTTTGGAGAGAATTTCCTGAAACAACTTGCAGAGCTAACTAGGAATCCATTCGCAGTTCTTTGGGCCAGACATGCCACAAGGAACTCCTGTCCAGCTCCAACCTGCAAAGATCTGTCCTCAGCCTTGCCAGAGATCCAAAAGAAGCTAAGAACTTAGAACTTGGAGACTAAGACCTGGCAGCTCTGGACAGCCCCACCCTGGTGGGCCAACAAGGAACACTAACTATGGATGGTGCCCCAGGACCAGCTCAGGACAGATGCCACACAAGGATAGATGCTGGCCCAGAACCCAGCTCCAAGAGGAATCCGAACTCTAATGGGGCCAGATCCAGCCTGTGGTCTGGAGTTGATCTGGAACCCAGACTCAGACATTGGCAACCTAACCCCAGCAGATCCAGGACTGTATTTGGGCCTGCTCCAGACCTGATCCTGGAGGCCCAGTTCACCCTGATTTAGGAGAAGCCAGGAATTGCCCAGGACCATGAAGGAGCCATGATGGCAACAGATCTGGAACCTCAGCCTGGCCAGACACAGGCCCTCCCTGTTCCCCAGAGAAAGGGGAGCCCACTGTCCTGGGCCTGCAGAATTTGGGTTCTGCCTGCCAGCTGCACTGATGCTGCCCCTCCTCTCTCTGCCCAACCCTTCCCTCACCTTGGCGCCAGACACCCAGGACTTATTTAAACTCTGTTGCAAGTGCAATAAATCTGACCCAGTGCCCCCACTGACCAGAACTAGAGTCTGTGATCTCATACCTCACTCTCTCCAAACGCATCCTGGAACCAAGCGGCTTGGTGGAAAGCAGATGCCTGTTTTTCTCATGGCTTCTTTCCACTGGGAGCAAGAAGTATGACCCCCAGAAACTGTGAAACTAGTTCTGGGTTCCCTTCTTAGGTGAAAGAGATGATGGAAGGAGAGAAAGCAGGGCTTGACTCCTCTGCCTCTCCTTCATCCTCCATCAGATCCCGTCTCCAAGGGAGAAGGGAAAAGAATCTCTTCTCTTTGGGTTTGAGAATTAGAAAAGAATGCAAAGTGGAGGCCAAAGGTGGAGGTGGGGGAGGATGGTTCAGAACATTTACCAGGCTTCCCTAAATCAGAATAATGAAATGAGAGGAAAAAGCCATGGAACTAAAGTAGAAGCAAGTCCAGTTACGATTTTTGTATTGCTTTGTTTTCATTGCTACTGTATGCTGGTAGGGGTGTTAGTTTGCATACATTATCACATTTAATTTCTATCAATCCTGTGAAGTTGGTACTATTCATCCCATTTACACAGAGAGAAACTGAGACCCAGAGCGGTTACATAACTTGTGCAAAGTCACACAGTGAGTGACAGAACAGAGTGAAACTCAGCTTCTCTGACAGGGAAGGCCCGAATTCTTAACCAACTTGCCACAGGGTTCAGATCTTTGAAGATACCATGCAAAGTCAGGGACCCCCTCTGTGTCCGCGGGTCCTCTTTTCTCCTCAAGGCCTGTCCTAACGTGCAGCAAGAGGGATAGGAATGGGGTTGTTGGAGACAAAGATGTCCCTGTCAGGAGAGACTAAAATCCAGCCACCAGAGGGCAGCATAGCCACAAATTCATGGGAAATTTGGGGAGGTAGGGTATGAGGTCCACCTCACCCTCTTCCCCCATCACCAGGACTATTCTCACTAACTCAGGCTCCTGCCTAGCAGGGCCTGCATTACCTAAAAACATCCCTCCTAGGAGACCGAGCCTGGACCACACTCCAATCTGTGACTTCTTAGAATGCTCTGAGTCAGAAATGTCTTCACAGAGCCCATAAATGAAAAGGGACTGATGGGGTAGAAAAGACAGGATGAGACAAAGAACCCCCTAGCATTTCTTTTTTTTTTTTTTTTTTTTTTTTTTTTTTTTTTTTTTTTTGAGATGGAGTTTCGCTCTTGTTAACCCAGGCTGGAGTGCAATGGCACGATCTTGGCTCACCGCAACCTCCGCCTCCTGGGTTCAGGCAATTCTCCTGCCTCAGCCTCCTGAGTAGCTGGGATTACAGGCACACGCCACCATGCCCAGCTAATTTTTTGTATTTTTAGTAGAGACGGGGTTTCACCATGTTGACCAGGATGGTCTCGATCTCTTGACCTCGTGATCCACCAGCCTCGGCCTCCCAAAGTGCTGGGATTACAGGCTTGAGCCACCGCGCCTGGCCACCCCCTAGCATTTCTAAGAATGGTAGCCATGGCATAACATGGCACCAGAAATTCTAAAGGGAGGAAATCCCATACTTGGTACATTAAAAGTAATTCCCTTAGGGGCCGGGCGTGGTGGCTCATACCTGTAATACCAGTACCTTGGGAGGTCGAGGCCAGTAGATCACGAGGTCAGGAGATTGAGACCATTGTGGCCAACACGGTGAAATTCTGTCTCTACTAAAAACACAAAAAATTAGCTGGGCGTGGTGGCATAATCCTGTAGTCCCAACTACTCGGGAAGCTAAGGCACAAGAATCCCTTTAACCCGGGAGGTAGAGGTTGCAGTAGCCAGAGATCCTGCTACTGCACTCCAGCCTGGGCAACAGAGTGAGTGAGACTCTTGTCTCAAAAAAAAAAAAAAAAAAAAAAAAAAAAAACAGGAGTTCCCCTCTTGGGAGAGGGGTAGAGGCAGAAGCAACCAAACTCCAGAGACCAGACCTAAAATGTCTTCCACTGTCGTGAGGAGAAATAAGGAGGGGAAGTGGGCTGTGAAAATTGGGCTGGTGTCATGGGTGTGTCACTGTGTAGTGCCTGTACTTTTGAGAGAGTGACAAGTTCTCACCCATGGATGGACAATACAAGGAAGGAATTCCTTGAGCTCAGAAATGCCACAGATGTCATCTAGTGTGAGCATCTCTTTCCCTGAGCTGTCATTCTCAGACTCTTGCTCTCAGTTTCATTCCCCAAGTCTCCCAACGCTCCGAAGGAAGTGTGCCTCGCACTTTGAGACTTGAATAATCCAGAGGAACTTAAGGGTAGGGGGGCTAGAAGGCCTGAGCCCTATCCTTGTCTGCGTTGGTGGAGATGAAGGAAAGGAGGCTTCAGGACGTGAACAGAGCAGCTGGGGGTGCAGGGAGGGGGAGGGGCTCAGGAGAGGCAGCTGGCAGGCAGGAAGCTGATCTGGGGGTCTCAAGTTTCTTGACATCAATTAGAGCAGCCGGCCTGGGCTCATTAGTAGCCCAGGGTGCAGGGCTCATCAATAATGAATTCACCCCACACACCTTCCCCCCCACCCCAGCTGCCTGCAAGGTCACCCCGTCCTTTAGCCAGCTGCCTCCCCTTAGTAAGCTTAAGCAACCCCTCTTCTGAGATCTTCCTAACCCAGAGTCCCTGGGGCAGTATGGCGGGGTGGACAGCCGCTAAGGGCAGAGGGGTCTCTAAAACCAATCAACCATGCCTGATGATGACTCTTGTTTAGTCTCCACCCAGGAGAAGAAAGAATAGGAAGAGGAACGGAGGTGTAGGGTCTAAGAAGAAGCAAGGTTTTTCATACTGGAGTTGACCAGCATGGTGGTAGGTCAGACCCAGAGCAGGAGGACCTCCTCTGCTGGACCCAGAAACCCTATATCCTCTCCCAAGGCCAGACTTGGTGTCTGAGATCTCTGCCCCTCTGAATCAGAACAAGCCTAAGGCAATGGCACTCCCAGCATTCTCTTGCCCTTGAGCTGGAGTGTCTTGGCAGGTACGGAAACAGGTCTCTTCTTCAAACCAGATTACTGGGGTGAGGGCAAGAGATTGCTGGAGCCCAGAAACAGAAACTCAAACTTCCTGCACCTTAATTGACCGTTCAGTCCCAATTTCCCTCCAGAACCCAGGAACGTCGGTCTCTTTCCCCTTCCTAAGCCATTCCAAAACTTCAGTCCCACCACCCTTTCACCGACTTCTTCCCCTCGGCTTCTACCTCCCTAAACTCCAAACGTTCCAGTTCCCACCCACTTTTCCTCTGGTTGGGGTTGGCCTGAAGCTGGCTGTGTGGCATTCTGGGAAATCCGCCTGCCCCCCTCCCTCTTGAGGCAGGTACAGACAGGTCCAGGCCCCATCTTCGCCAGACATCTGCAGCCTCCCAGACTCCAGCCTTGTACAGGGATCCCTTAAGAATGCCTCCCAGTGGCCTGTGCTTCCTCTCCCTCCTGACATTCTCCCCAGCTCATACATTTTGCCCTGCCCTCCGTCTTCCCCTCCGCTTCACCAAACGTGCCCCCCACCCCCGGCATCAGTCCTCCTCCATGGAAGCTCCCCTTAGTGGGCAATGCCTGGATTTAGGCCCTGGATAGATGCTCCCCCACGCCATCCCACTCAGATCCAGGTCATCTCTACAAGGTGCCTCAGTTCTGGATCTTCTGTCATCTCCCAGTTTCCTGGGAGATGATCTCGGTTACAAGCTTCCAGTTCCACCTCCCCAGGTCCACTGATTGCAGTCTCTCCGCCGAGACCGTCCCTGAGGACCCGGGCATTCAGACCCCAGCCAGAACTCAACCTGGGATGCACCTTCAATATCCCACTTCACCTCAGAGGCCCAGCGCTCAGGCGTCCCGCTCCCAAGCCAGAACAACAGACTGGGTCCCGAACGATTTCTACTGCACTTGCCCTGCCCCCTGCTCAGCCCATCGCCCTGGAGGGAACCAACCTAGGTGTCCCACCCAAGCCAAGCGCCATCGCCTCCCAGAGTACTTAGGCACCCCGCCCCTCCCCCCACCCCCCTTCCGGCCCGCGTCAGCCCAGAGCCCGACTTCCCGCCCTCACACTCGGCCCTGCCCGGGAACCCCGGCATCCTAGCTTCCAGCTTTGTCCATCACCTCACACCGTCTTCTAGACGTCCTGTTCCCCCAGCCCCGGCCGCAGTGACACAGTCAACGCTGGAGGCCCGCAGGCAGCGAGAAGAGGGCGGGAGGAAGCCGGAGGGGCCAGGACGCCCCCTCGCGGAGCCCCGCGTGCCCGGGTCCCCTCCTCCCGTCTTCACCTGCTGCGGGCCCCGCCCCCGCTCCGCCTCGGCCGGCCTCCGCTCCTCCCCGGCTCCTCCCCCCGTACCCCCAGCCCGGCCAGAACGGCCCCCGGGACAGAGCGACGCGGAACCCCGGGCGCCTGGGTCCCCAGCATGATCCTCGGTGAGTGGTCTCTGCGACTCCAGGCTCCCGGCTCCTGGGTTCCTCTCTGCGGGTCACCCACCGCCCCCCCATCTCCCGGCACCGCGGTGACTGCGGCCGCCCGTCAGCGACCGGTTCCCCCTCCCCCGTCATCTGGCTCCACATCTGGGGTCCCCTCTTCCCCTCTTCCCTCGGCTGCCGCTGCTCGCGGGAACCTAGGGAGTGGTAAAGCGGGAGGCAGAGCGGAGTGAGACCCCCGCCCCATAATTAGAACATTGCGTATTCATGAGGCTCATGAATATTATATGCCAGTCTACGAGAGGCTGGGGGAGGGGGCTGGTCCTGGCCTGGTGGAGTTGGGGGAAAGGTTCTGACCCGTCTCCTGCCCCAGCGTCTTCCCCTACCCTCAGCTTAGACACTCCGGCATCCTCCTGGGCCCAGGATAAGGGGGGAAAGGAGGAAGTGGGGGGTGGAAGGAGAAGATGGTGGGTGTAGCTTCGAGGTGAGTGTGGTGGGAGGTGGGAACTGAGGGCCCGAGATAAGAGGGCTGGGGAGAAGAGGGGGTGGGAAACTGTCCATCCAGGGCTCCTGCGGCTCAGATCCTGTCTCCACAGCCATCCTGCCCCAACACGCCGGGACCTGCCCCTCTCTCTCCCTGCT